GACAGCCTGCTTCTGGGTTGTCTAACAACCTATGATGTCATCATGTGGCACCAGCCAGTTAGCCATACCTGGCAGGCATGGTCCTGTTGCTCCTTAAAATGACCAAAATGCCATTTTCTCTCTCTCTTAGCTCTTGGCCCTTGCCCTCTCTTGCCTCTCCCCTTTCTCTGTCAGGGCACCCTCCTTTCTTCCCTGTATCATGTCTCACTCTCTCTGTCTCTCTGTCTCTTCATCTCCACCTATTAAGCCTCTTTCGTATAAAATCAGCTGTGCTCATCATCATCATTATTTATTTTGGTCCTAACATAGTTTATCTGCAATTTCTTCCAGCAGTTAAACACTCTGTCTATATGGAATCAGCAATCACTTTTACCTTAAATCTGAATTAACCTCACCTCACTAGCTGAATAATGGCAGAGCACATCTACTGTACTGATTCCTTTAGTTGTCTGCTATTTTCAGGTAGGAAAGGGGAAGTTGTATGAACCTAAAAGTGCTAGTGCCCAGAGCAGAAACATCTCTGCCTACAAAGCAGATAGACCACATAGCACTGAGATTGAAATGGTGACAGAGTGGACACCTGACAGTTCTCTATCCACAATGAGTAAGAGAAAGACTCAAGTGCTGATCCAAGGAAGGGGAGATGCCAACACTGTAGATGAGATCAGCTATTACAAGGACAAACATGAGGAGGAGAATTCCTTTGTGTAACATGAGAAGACATCAAGAATGGCCAGGGCCTTGCATATTTGTTTGCAGTAATGAATGAAATGAATAAAAACCTCTTATTTTAAAATTAAATGCCAGGAGGGGAGATTGTAAAACGCAGACTCCCCCATTTGCATTAAAATTTTAAAAGAATGAGTGTTGCTCTATATGATGTGAACGCTCTATATGACAGTAAACCCAAAAGTACAATTTAAGTAAGACAAGGGAGAAAGAATAATGGATATGAAAGGGCCAGAAAAGATGGGGATGAGCATAGTCAAAGTACATTATACACTAGTGTGAAAAGGTCTTTAAGAAATCCATTACAGTGTACCATGAGTAAACATCAATAGAATGTATTGTAAAAGAAGTAACTGGTCATCGTGGTCAATCAAAATTCCTTATTAATAAGTTGGATAAAGTTGACATCCACAGGTTTTAGAAAATTTAAGTTATTATCTATCAAAATGATGTGATACAATTGCAAGAATGTCTAAATTTTTTGTTTCACATTGGCCATGTCTATGATTTTTACAAATAAGTAAATAGAAGAACATTTCTTTTTATGTGCTTTCTGTAGAAACTTCTATACTCAAACCATTAATAATCCTCATATGTAAGGAGACTACAAAATTATAACTGTAGTTCCCAAATAAAGATCACTTTAATTGACAATATGCTTAGCAAATTGTTACATATGTAATGAAAGGGAAATTCCAGAATGTGTTGGTTGTATACCAAGCTTTCAAACATTACCATATTATAATGTTTCAGAAATGTATTCTTTTTAGCAAAGAAGATAATGGGTGAACTTTTGGGATTTTTCTTGGTATGCATGCCATTCACAAGTAAAATCTGATTTTCAGTCTTTTCTTCACTTTATTTTGGGGAAAGAAATTAAAGATAAAGTCCTTCAGAATTTAAGAAATAACCTGAATCTTCCCTGACAGGTGCTCTCTAGGTAAGTAGCATTCACAATGGCAGCAAATTAAGATCTGCCCATCCCCTAATGCAAAACAGTAACTGTGTGGTGAATTGATGGACAGGACAGACGATGCATCCATAATACACTTTGAGAACCATGAGATAAAGTGTTAATGTCAATAGTTCAAGTCATTTAAACTAGTCATTTTATTAGGTTTGTTTCCTTAGCAGATTGATGTTACCACATGTAATTTCTTAAATGTATAAATCACAATATAAGAATTCATGATAATTTTGAAATCATGATAAACTTCTATCTAAATAATATCTAATGTTTAATATCTAAACATTCAGCTTAGAAATTAAAATATTGATTCATTAGTACTCGAAACTGTGACCATGTGCCTTCAGTGGAACATCAGTGAAATTAGGGAGACCAAAGTGGTTCAACAAAATGAAAACAAATATCATCTGGTTTGGGCCCCATGAGTGTAGATGAAGTCACTACCACCATTATCAGTAGCAATTTTTCTCTGATGAAATGATTAGCAATATATAAGTTATAGTTGTACTTGGGTTGTAACTCATCAGAAATTTAAAGTGAAAGCTCCGTTCATGATATCTGATTCATAAACAAAAGGAAAACTTTACATTTAGAATACGATCAATAGATTTTTTTATACCTCAACTTAGAACAGGATGGAAAAGTTAAAACACAAAGCTTTCCTCACCATTGGTTCTTCTCAGTTCCTCCACAAGGCACTGAGCCTCTTCTTGAACTCGGTCCTCAATGGTCCTTTTGCCCATGCCTAAATTCCGCAGGGTTGTCAGAGAGAAGCGCCTCATTTCTTTCCATCCTTTTCCATGGCTAAAAACGATTCCTAAACAAATGAGAACACAAACTACAAAGTGATTTCCAGAAGAGAAGGACCATCTGAGAACACACAACAAATCAGAGGCCCAATCTGAGCTCCAGAAGCAAGTCTGGTGTTTTCTTTATATCTTCTTCCTCACCATGAATACTATCCAGCTCACACATGAATGTACACAGTAACTTACCAAGGCCTTTACTAATTTTGTCAAACACTGGGA